ACTAGATCTTCTTATCTTAGGAGAAAGATTCATCAGACTAAGATTTTGATCCTATGAGAAAATTCATCAGACTAGGTCTCTTACTTTGTTATCTTAGGAGAAAGATTCGTTAGACTAAGATTTGATCCTAGGAGAAAATTCATCAGACTAGGTCCCTTTCTTTGTTATCGTAGGAGAAAGATTCATCAGACTAAGATTTCTATCCTAGGAGAAAATTCATCAGACTAGGTTTTCTATCTTAGGAGAAAAATTCATCAGACTAAGATTTCTATCCTAGGAGAAAATTCATCAGACTAGGTTTTGATCTTAGGAGAAAGATTCATTAGACTAAAACGTTTATCCTAGGAGAAAGATTCATCATACTAGGGCTTTTTATCTTAGGAGAAAGATTCATTAAACTAAGATTTTTATCCTAGGAAAAAATTCATCAGACTAGGTCTTCTTTCTTAGGAGAAAAATTCATCACACTAAGTTTTTCTATCTTAGGAGAAAAATTCATCGGACTAAGATTTTTATTGGGAGGAAAATCCATCAGACTAGAACTTTTTATCCTAAAAGGAAAAATGTGAAGAGCAAAAGCAACATTTTATGCACACTAGCAAGACAGGTAAGAGAAAAGATTTGAGAAACTTCCCTTCTTATTTTTTTTCTTTTTTTTGAACCCACTTGCTTACACTTCTTTGTTCCTGTTTCAAACAAAGAAAACTTGTGAGTTTAAATGTGCTGGTTAGTTTGTGGCCTTGACCTTGAGGGCGGCTGATTCTACACTTGCCAAGATAACTTTGATTTCAACTTGGACAACCATGACTGTTATCGACTACCCATTTTCTTCAACCCTTATCACAGAAAATACCTATGCTCCATTCGATCCCAATATCCTCTATTTGTTGCATTTTGCTTATGAATTGACATTTATCGAACCCTTGCATTTCACATGAATCCCAAAGCATATTGATTGTTACCAACTCAATGCGTATACCACTTTTCCTGAATTATGCCACTTTGATGTGCTAGCCAAATTTGTTTTGTGCAATTGGAAAGTTGGTAGCAAATTTTGAAGTCATTTCTCACTTGTTCTGACAAAACAGACTCAAGAAGGGACTCAAACAAAACAAGAGGAACAAAATAAGGGACAAGGGAAAGATATGATACCTAACAAGAAAATTACAAAGTAGAAACTTATCAGATGTGGATACCAACTCTAACGACCATGACATGCACCTTTGGATTAAGTGGCCTAATCTCTCAAGCAAGTCTAATATCCAACTCTTGTTGTACCTCTTCGCTGTAAAACTGGGCTTCAGCGCTTCAATTGTCCCATTTTATCCATAATCCTCAATCGACTTATAGTGCCCTGAAGGTTTTCACCATCAAGCATCTCTCATTTTTTTTCTTTTCTCAACTCACCATCGCCTTACGGTGCCCATGATGGTTTTCACCGATAAGACTCTCTCATTTTATCATTTTCTCTCTTTGTGATGAGAACAAAGTATTACCCATGATGCAAGAAGATCATACTTTCACCATACACTTTATTTGGAATCCTCAAAGATTGGTCAGAATGTCTTTCTTTGGACCGTAATGTAGGCTTTTGGACAGGGTGGGAAAGAAAGGGTGGCATGAAGGCTCAAAATAATTTAAAATGAAAGGGTTCAAAATTACAACTTTTAAAATCAAATCTTTTAGCCAAAATTAAAACTTCTGCCCCAGTTTCTTTGAGTCTCGGGAATTTTGGATTTTTATTTTGATGGAACCGAATCGTGTAAGGCTGCCTACGTATCCTTAAAAGGAATCAGGTCGAACTTAGTTCAAACACAAAGTTGTTTTTTTCCTTTTCTTTTCTTTTTCTTCTTTTTTTTCTTCTTTTTTTTTTCTTTTTCCCTTCTTTTCTAGTTCCCAACTCTACTTCTGATTCCAAAAAAGGGGCATGAAACACAACAAATTAAGGCTCAAAAAGGTTAGTAAAAGATAAAAGTGTTTGAGTAGCAGAATAAAATGCCTTCGTCATACCAAACTTTAAAAATGCCAGGTACAAGCATGCAATTGAAGATAAGCAAAAAAATCATACATGGTATCTATTGATGGAATCAACACAAACAAAAATGCCAGTGGGCAATACCTTTATCCCAATGAATGACCCTTGCCAGTTCGAAACAGACTTGACTCAACCTTATCTCGATGTGGAAGAATGCATTTCAGCCCTGATTGATTTATCTCAAAATTGCTTGAGAGATATTTCCTTGTTGTATGCTCTTATCCACCTCTTGATTTCCCAGACTAACTGCCTCAGTTTCACTCAATTCAAGCTTCAAGTTATTTTGGAATATGTGACTGTTTACTTGTTTCCTCAAATGCATCCTTTTATCATATTCAAAACTGTGTCATTGCTTCATGATTAGACTAACTTTCAGGACGAGGGTGAGAATTATGCGTGTATGTCATGTCACTAGAGTCAGCATGAAAAGAACTATAAAAGGAAAAGTGACCTAAACAAAACTAACTAGAACTAACAGAAAACAGTAGATTGCATTAGACAGATGGTGAACATGGTTTGAACAAAACAAGCAAAATAGACATGGGTTATAACCCTAGAACAATTCTAGATAACACTAGACGAGTTACTACAATAAAACGAACTAGGCAAAAAGAAGAAGAAGAGTTTGAGCCACAAGACAATATCCGGATTACAACCCTAAAATAACCCAGACAACAGAAATGACAACAAAATAAACCACCAAAACTCCTCCCTAGCTAGCCAAGAAAGGAGTGTCTTTCCAATCACCAAGCTCGACATCTTAGCCACTGAGTTCCACATCAATAATCCCAGAACCTCCACAAATCTCCATCATGTTGACCTTAGCAAATAGCTTTTGGGTCCTTTTTGCCAACTCGTTCTTAAGATCAACCTCTGGAACCGAGACTGATAGCGCTGAAAACTTTGCAGTAGGTGGCCCCCTAAGGGATTCAAAAGAGTTCTCATATTCCTTTTCCACACAAATCATGTCCACCACATGCGTCTCATTATGCACAGGCAATGGACTTTGGCTAGTATCTGTTGCATTTGGATTTTTCACGGTAATGTCACCTGCATCAATAAGCTTCTGGACTGCTCTTTTTAGATGCCAACACTTTTCTATGTCGTGCCCGGTGGCATTAGAGCAATATGCGCACCTTTGAGGAAAATCAAAACTCTTTGGAACGCGTTTCGACATTTTTATCTGAATCGGTTTCAACATGTCCAATTGCCTCAGCCTTTAGAACAAACTGGCATATGATTCTCCAATAGGAGAGAAAGACTTTTCTCTTTGCTGTCGCCTTCTCATTTTGTACTCCGACCTTGGTTGGAACCACTTTCAGGTAGGGGGTTGATATTCTTGTAGAGGTGGGTAAGACATTTGTGGAGGCGGTGCAAGCCGTTGTGGGTTTTATGGGTGTGAAGCATATGGCGGTGCATTGTGGATAGAGTACTGGGGAGGTGAGGTATGACTTTGGAGATTTTGTGGAGGAAAGTAGCATTGGGGAGGATTATTTGGAGTACGAGGATATTCATGGGGTCGGTATTGAGGTTGAAAGCGTTTAGCAGGAATGCCCACTAGATCTTGTCGTTGGCTGGGCTCGACAACATCTTTTCTATCAATCGAAGGACTGATCCCAGCAACTTGTTCGTTCCATCTGAACCAAAACTCCCTAAAACCTTCCTTGGGTTTCTTTTCCATCTGAGATAGGGAGGAGCGGCCTGGGATAATGTCTACATTATACTGATAGTGCCGAACAAAATCTTGAGCCAAGTCACCCCATGCATGTCACTTACTAGCATCTTGGCGGGTGTACCACTCCAGAGCTTTCCCACTCAGACTCTGACTGAAATATGCCATCAATACTTCATCCTTCCCGCAAACACTTCTCATTTCACTGCAACAACCCCTCAGATGCTCTACTGGATCTCCACGCCCATCATATAAATTAAGCTTTAGCATTTTAGACCCTTTCAGCTTTCTGGATATCTTATCCTGCTCCACTGTCTTAGTAGGCTTTGTAGTTTCACCGGGAGGCTCAAAATAAGGAGCATAAGAGTATGGACCCGAGACCTTGAAAATTGGTTCTGGAGCATAGTGTTAGACATCTGGAGCTTGGAACACAGTCTCGCTGGAGGATCGAGGAAGAGTAGCTGGTGGATGAGCTACAAAAACACAAGTGGTCAAAGGAGCGGGATTTGATGTGCTTTTTAGGGGTGGAATGTGAAAAGATTGTGGGGGGATATCAACACCAGTGGGAACCTGGGTTTGTAATAGTGGTGGGATAGTTGCAAGGTTTTTAGTGTAGTTAGTGGGGAATGAATGTGGAGGATGCCCCCTGATCCAAGACTGATACATTTCTTCCATCTGTTGTTTCAACCTTTGGACCCCCTCTTTCAATTCAGACTCCGACTCCACAAACATCCTTGGTGGGTCTACAACACCAGTGTTTGTTTCTTTGCTAGCCATGGCTACTTGCTCTTTGACCTATGTTGTATGAACGAATCGCCAAAGTGCCACAAACTAACCACCCTCTGTTATGATAACAATAAAAGTAACAAAGAGCAACAAAAAAAAGCCAACATGTTAGTGTTAGGGCATTTATCAGATAGAATGATCACATAGTGTGTCATGCCCCTGGTCACAATTAACGGTTTTAGAATGGCTTCGAGAGTACGAAGGATATATGGCATCATCCCAATTTCACTCTTCTGGCCCTTTTCTCTTCTTTTCCTCCTTTGCGCTCCTTAATTTGCTCATTTCTTTCAACTCTTTTCTTTCTGATTATCGCTCTTTCTTTCCTCTCATTTTTCACATCCCACAACTTTTCTCTCTTTTTTTCTTCTTTTTTTTTCTTTTTTTTTAGTTTTCAAAAAAATGATTCGATCGAAACCTATGTAGGTTGCCTACGTATCATGTCCCTCATGAATTAGATCAAGCGTAGCTCTGAAAAAGTAACGGATAAAATAAACTAAGAAACAAAAATCTTTTTGAAATTTTCATTTATAATTTTTTTCAAATACAAAACAGGAAGTACTATAACAAAAGACTCGAAAATCTTAATTAGACTGACAGACTCGATACTACTGTACAAGACTAATAATTAAAAGACAACATAAAATAGACTAAAAAATAAAAAGTTTCCTCAAACAGCTCGTGCATGCAATAGTCTTGACTAGAATGGTCCTGGGGTATTTGTCATGCTCGAGTCCTGGTACATGGATCCAGACCTGAATGAGAAAAATAAGACCAAATAGATCAGTGACTCAAGACACTATGCTACACCACAACACCTCCTATTGGAAGCACGCAAGACATGATTGGGCTGCTTTTGCAAAATTAACCTATGTGGCCAAGGATGGCTATTAGTGCAAACTCAACAACGGTGACCTCAAAGACATGGAAATACCTCACTAAGGCTTAAATGGATTCAACTCCCAATAATCATGGCCCAAAATTAATTTGCAGAAATAACCCATTTTGCAGAAACGGCCAATATGGCTAGATGTGACTAAAGATGCAAACTCAATAAGGACGTGCCTTAAAGTAATATGACTCATAGTTGTGGACTCAAGATTCTAAGACATGGGTAATTGAACCACTTTACGAAAATGATCCCATTTTGCAAGAATGGCTCGTGTAGCCAAAAGTGGCTAGACATGCAAGATTTGGCTAAGATCCCGCAAAGCCAAGAACCTAAGACACTAGGAAGACCGGACCCTATGTGGGTTGCCTATGTATCACGTCCCGAAAGACGAGAATCAAGTTCGCGTAGTTCGGGAAGATTCGATATGGGAGAAAGCTTAAAAAATGACACTAGTTGAAAAAATATATTTTTTGTCTTCTTGAAAAATGATGGAAAATGTAAAATCTTTTTAGATTTTTTTTTAAAATTTTTGGAAAATAATGGGAAGGTGTAAAATCTTTTGGATTTTTTTTTTGATTTTTTGAAAAATAATGGGAAAGTGTAAAATCTTTATGGATTTTTCATTTTCATTTTCTTTTCTGTCTTTTGTTTTTGAAAAAGTAGTGAAAGAAAAATATAACTGGACGCTACTTGCTTCATCTTTCACTCTTCTTTCCCAAACATCGGTTAGCCAAATGACCTTTTTACCCTCAAAGGTGCAACATGTATCACATAAGAATGATTGAATGTCTTTTTGGGCCACGGGCCTATTTTTGATAAAATTTGGATAGGCTTCCTACAAAGGGACACGGTACCTGGGACCGAGCCCTGCTAGATCTAAATAACATGATGCAAATAAAAATGACCTAAAGGCTGACCTTAGTTTGTGGTTTATTAACAAGGCAATTCGGGGGAGTGTATGGTCGATGGTGGCTGCTCAAGCTTTCCACCCACTCCATACGTCCGATGGCCCCCCCTCCTAAATTAAGGGTGACTCAACAAAGAGTTCATGCACGCGACGCGTACTCCGAGACTTGTTGCAGAAAGAAGACCCATGATTATGCAAATGATGACAGTTTATAAAGCAGTAACACAATAAGAAAAGCGATAAACAAATAGCCAACAAAACAAGGAAATACGACAAACAAAGAAAATAAAGAAAACAAATACCTCAACCAAATATCCTAAAAGCCAACAAGATCAAATACCAGCACGAACCTGCAACTCCCCAGCAGAGTCGCCAAAGATGTCACACCCCTTTTTTAACAACTACCTTCACTAAACCCTCTTAAATTAATAAAAAGATTTATAAAGCTCAAAAGGGTTTTAATTAAAAAGTGACAAAATTGTGTTAAAAAGGAAATAATTCAGAGTCGCCACCTGACATTGTTTCGGTGTGCCAGGTCACCGTTTTTCAAAAATGATTTTTCTTTTAAAACACTTCGAACTCCAAACTAAGTCTGCACCAGAGATTTGGGTAAGGGGGTTCATTTGACTTAGGGAGAAGGTATTAGACATTCCCCAAGTCCCGTAACTAGTACGATTGCGTACATGATCAAGTTGGCTTTTAAAATATTCAATTGAGATAGAAAACACAGAAAAAGAAAAATAAACACACAAGAGGCCCGAGGTCGTTCCCAACTAATAAAAGAGAAGCGAAAATGAAAATAAAAATACTCAGAGTTCTACTTTCGGCCTCCAAATATAAATACCACGGGCATACCCCGGATGAAATATATACAAATCATTCGGGGTATTCCCCGAATAAATTTAACTAAGGGAATAACGTCTCGCCACGAAACTAACAAAAATTCTAAGGCTTCCCTACCTAAGTGTGGTCGGCCTAAACATGCTCCTAACGGGTCATAACACAAAGCAAGATGAAGTACCAAACAAAAGTAATAAAGCAACAGTAAAAGTAAGTATAAAATATAATACCTTATACTCAAACCCAAGCCATGTATGAACTTTATCGATTCATATTTATTTCATATTCAAATTCTTTTAAATTTACCAAAACCCCAACCCCAACCAGTATTTCTTTTACTACTCAAACCATCAATAAATCTATATAACCTATTCATTTGATTCTCCTATTATAGGTTATTAATACTAGAACCTGGAAACCTCTACCTCTTAAGGAAAGCATTGCAGCAGACTTGAAATCTCAATTTAGCTATTTAAAGTTTAAACGTAAACAATAATCAAGAACACAAGGATCATCCAATTAAAAAACTAGGGAAAGAGAGGGGTAAGGTTTAGACCTTTATTGATGAATCCAAGGGTGTAATTCAGAAGGCAAACTGGAAATCGGAACCAGAGCTTGACCGAAAAACCTTGGCTGAAATCAAACGGGACCGGAACCATCGAGCCAAGAATGGAAACTTCGTTGTAAAGTTTGAACGACGATGGCATCGGCGGCGACGCTAGCTAAGTGAGAGATGAGAGGATTGAGTGAAATAGTGAGAAGAGGGGGTCATCGTTTTCATAATCGCTGAATTTCTGCCGGAGCTCTTAGAGTGAATGGGAGCGGCTATTTTTCTAGAAAAAAAATGAGAGCCTTCCCCCTTTTTCGCTGCTGCTTTCCCCAAATGCTCTATCTCATTTCAGTCTCTTAATCTGTATGTAGAGTGTCAAATATATGAATATCTTGATTCAAATTTTCAGGCAAGCTATAATAGAATGGATCAATTAAATGGTCACGTTTGATTCTGCAAAGTTGCTGGGCGGTTGCTGCCTCTCAAGTGTGATAGAATGAGAGATTTTTTGGAATTAAAGATGATTGGAAATAGTGGTGGTATTTGTGAAAATCAGAGAGTGTTGATTTCTTGAATTTTTTTTCTAAGAAGAACAATGAATTAAAGTGACGTTCTACTTTTCGTTTTGCTTGTCCCTTCCTTTTTCGTGAGTGTGTGTGCTTTTTTTTTATTGCCGCTGTTGGGAGCAGCTGGAGACGGGTGGTCGCTGGCGACTGGGGGTCTCTCCTAGATTTTTTTTTGTGGTTCTCCCCTTATAATAATGAAAAATTCCAGACCCTTCCTCAACTCTACTTGGAGAAAAGAAAAGAGATCTCTTAGCCAATACCGTGTGGTCCCTATCAGTAAAAAATGCCATATTTCTGTATGCAATGTAAAAATGAAATGGAATGTGTAGTGGTGTGACGTGGCAGGGAGTTAAGGCGAGGACAAGAATTGTGAATTTCTATTGTGCAAATGAATCCAAAAACGTGAGAGTGGGGAGTGTGAATCTTTGTGATTTTCACTTTTTGCTTTCTTTCTTATTCAATTAAAGGAATGGAAAACATAAAACCATAAAATAAGAAAACCAACTAGCTATAAATCTATATTTTTCTTTTTCTTTGACTTTCTTTCAAGATATATTGCTAGATGAAGATACTAATTAGCTAAAACTAAAGAAAATATTTTTGTAATTTTTATTTTGTGATAAAATAAAGTAAAAGGGTCAAAACTAGTTAAAATAGCGATATTAGACCTAAATAAATATTTAAATGCTAAAATATATAAAATCTCGGGGATGGTCAAAAATTACATGTCTACAAAGTAGACATAACAAAGTTGGGAACACAAAGTAGCTAATCAAGTAGGTCACAAGACTTAGAAGCAGGTTCAGCAGGACTTAGAAGCAAGTTCAACACCTAGCCAAATAATACATTGGCAGTCACATATTGAAAGAGTTAAGGGAGAAACCAGTTTGTAGGATTAACAAAGATTATCATACACATGTGCATAATACCAAACCAGTTGAAACCTAAAATGTCCAAATTATGCTAAGTATACATTCCAGTGTCATAAGACAAATATGTTAACTCTCATCAGGAAACAAAACAACATTTAGACATGATAGGGGAACACAAATTGTGAGAAGTCAAGTAATCACTGAAGGAACAGGGAATCAAGTGAGCCAAAGGCATGCTAAGGGACACATAGGTTATAATACATTACAGATGTGAGATATTTATTACAGAGATTCAGGACAAAGCAGTAAAGCAGGTTCATGTCAAATAGCAAATGTAGACATTCAGACATCAATACAATAGACTAATTGCAACGACCCGACCGGTCATTTTGAGAATTAATGCCTAGATCCCCTATTAACTACTTTTCTCATGTTTATTTCTACTATTATAATTTGCCGGGAAGATTCCTTTTGAGTTTCATAGTGTTTTGGGACATTTAGTCCCTAAATGAGAGCTTAAGTTTTAGAATTTGGACCGTAGTCGGAGTAGTATGAAGACGGCTTCGGAATGGAATTCCGTCAATTCCGTTAGTTCCGTTAGGTGATTTCGGGCTTAGGGGCGTGTTCGCATTGTATTTTGGAGGTCCGTAGCTTATTTAGGCCTGAAATGCTGAAAGCTGAATTTTTGAAGTTTTCGAATCGATAGTGAGATTTTGATATCGGGGTCGAAATCCAATTCCAAAAGTTAGTATAGCTCCGTAGAGTTGAATGTGACTTTTGTGCAAAATTTGTGGTCAATCGAACATGGTTTGGTTGGTTTTGGCATCGGTTGTAGAATTCTTGAGATTTCAAGTTCATTAGGCTTGGATTGGAGGGTAATTCATGGTTTTAGCATTGTTTGATGTGATTTGAGGGTTAGATTAAGTTCGTATAATGTTTTAGGATTGGCTGGTATGTTTGGTTGAGGTCCCGGAGGCCTCGGGTGAGTTTCAGATGCTTAACGGAAGTTGAATTTGGACTTGGAAAAATTCTGAAGTTGCTGCTTCTGGTATTTTTGCATATGCGGTGAGGAGCCCATAGGTGCGGCCCACAGAAGCGAGGAAATAGGTCGCAGGTGCGTTTTGGAGCACGAAGGCCAGTGGCCGCAGATACGGCTCAAGGACCGCAGAAGTGGACTGCATCTGCTGAGAAGGGAGCGCAGGTGCAGTGCCTAGGGAGTTAATGAAATTTCGCAAATACGGAGCCCAAGACGCAGGTGTGGTACTGCAGGTGCGGCCCCATGAACCGCAGATGCGGAAATCATTGGGCAGATATAGAAAAATCGAGGGTTTGAGTTCATAACTTGGAAAAATCAAATTGGACCGGGGAAGGTGATTCTGTGGGGATTTTGACGAGAAGACCATTGGGTAAATATTCCTAATACCTTTTTAACTGTATCCTATTAATCTAAGCTTAAATTCATTAATTAATTTCGGATATGGGGTGAAAATTGGGAGAATTGAGGAAAAGTTCTTAGGAGTTTTTGGATTTTGATCGAGATTTTGGTATCGAATTTGAGTGATTTTGGTATGGTTAGACTCGTGAGTGAATGGGTGTTCATAATCCATAATTTTTACCTGATTCCAAGATGTGTGTCCGGGAGAATTTTTGAGCGTTTTTCTATTTTCTTACCTTAGCTTTGATTCATTTAACTAAATTCGTTGTTTGTGGTTATATTTACATTATGAAATTGATTTGATTAGATTTGGGCTACTCGAAGTTGGATACTCAGGGCAAGAGCGTGATTTCGGATTGATTTGAGCTGGTTTGAGATAAGTGGCTTGCCTAACCTTGTGTGGGGGAACTCCCCTTAGGATTTGGTATTGTTGTTATATGAATGCCGTGTACGTGAGGTGATGAGTGCGTACACGTGCTAATTGTTGGAAAACCCCATTTTCATTAAGTAAACATCTATGTTTCCTTTTTTTTCCGAACACTACTTGTATTTTAAAGCCTACTGTTTAGCTTAGGAAAGCATGCTTAAGTTACTTAGCTGTTTTATCTTCTTAAACTGTTTACTTGAATTCTATGCAGTATGTTTAGAATAGGAACCTCTGTTTTATTGTTACGAACTTGGATAGAACTGTAGATTCTTTCTTGAGACTGTTGTGTGTTTACTTTGGGACTACGGGACGACATCCCGGGAGATTCCCCTATAATGGTTATTTACTTTGGGACTACAGATTGGTATTTTAGGATATTCCCTTGCATATTTATGATTCAGACTATTGGACAATATCCCAGGAGGTCCTCTGCATATTTCGTTTGGGTCTACGGGACGACACCTTGGGAGATCCCATGTTGCTATTTCTGTGTACTGAGTTATATTCTTTCTGTGATTTTATTCATTATCGACTGTTAATATTTTAATTATACCATCACATTTCATACTGTTTTACCTTGTTATATGTATATAACCAGTAGGGCCCTAACCTTTCTCGTCACTACTCGACCGAGGTTACGCTTGACACTTACTGGGTACTGCTGTGGTGTACTCATGCCCTTTCCTGCACATGTTTTTTGTGTGCAGATCCAGATTTTTCTGCTCAGCCGTTCTATTAGTGAGGCGGGCGATATCAGAGACTACAAGGTATATCTACCGCATCCGCAGACCTAGAAGTCCCTCTCTATTCTTCCCTTTAGCTTTAGACTTCTTATATTTACTTTTGATTAGACATTCTGGAGTTAGAACATTATGTAGTTTTCTATAGCTTGTGATTTCATGAGATTCCGAGTTTTGGAAGTTTTTATTCAGTTTTGAGAGTGTGTGTTGTATATGCCGAGCGACATTTTAAACTCTTTTATTATGTTTTACCCGCAACTTGCTAGTTTCGTATTTCATTTCCTTTTTCCGTGTTTTGTTAGGCTTACCTAGTCGTAGATACTAGGTGCCGTCACGATAGTTTATGGAGGGAGAACTTGGGTCGTGACAAGTTGGTATCAGAGCTATAAGTTTATAGGAGTCATAAATCACAAGCCGGTTTATTAGATTCTCGCGCATTAGTATAGCGATATTTGTACTTACCTACGAGAAGCTATTTAACTGTTAGGAAAATTTCACTTCATATGATTTCCATTGCGTGCAAGATTTTGATATCAAAACTCTAAACCTCTGTCTTCTATTTTCTCACAGATGGTGAGGACACATGCTGCCAGAGAGGACCAGGCACCCGTGCCCCTTGCTAGAGCCGCTAGAGGTCGAGGCTGGGGTAGAGGGCAAGGACGCTCACGTGGTACATCCAGAGCATTCACGCGAGCTACCACAGAGGGTCCACCAGCAGCTCCAGTCGGAGCCCAGACACTTGATATTCCTACTGTTATTACTATTCCAGCTCTTCACGAAACCTTTGCATAGTTCGTGAGCATGTGCACAACTCTAGCTCAGGCAGGGTTGATCCCCTTGATGAAGCCACATTCCAGGCCGGGGGAGAAGAAAAGACTCCCGCCGCCCGCACCCCAGAGTAGTGGGTCCAAGTTGATCAGACCCTAGAGGTTATACCGGTACCGCCTGTAGCTCTAGTTTAGCCCGAGGACATGGTAGCAACTTCAGAGGATAAGCAACGAAGGCTTGAGAGGTTTAAGAAGTACAAGCCTCCTATATTCAATGGTTTAGCATCAGATGCTGCTCTGGGATTTCTGGAGGAGTGCTTCCGTATCCTCCACACTATGGGTATATTAGGATCGAGTGGGGTTTCTTTCACTACCTTCCAGCTTCGAGGAGCAGCCTATTAGTGGTGGCGTACTTTTGAGTTGGATAGTCCAGTTGAGGCAGCTTCCCTTACATGGACACAGTTTTTATATATGTTTTTTTAGGGAATATGTTCCTTAGAGCCTTAGGGATGCATGACGTGCAGAGTTTGAGCATTTGCGCCAGGGTACTATGACTGTTTCAGAGTATGCTGTCCGTTTCACTGACTTGGCTAGGCATGCACCTGCCTTGGTTTCTAATGTTCGTGAGAGAGTTTGCCGGTTTATTGAGGGGCTCATTCCCAGCATCAGTTCTAGCATGGCTCGGGAGTTAGAGATGGATATTTCTTATCATCAGGTGGTGAGCATTGCTAGGAGAGTAGAGGGTATGCATGCTCGAGATAGAGAGGAGAGGGAGGCTAAGAGATACCGAGAGTTGGGCCATTATTCTAGCGCCCGTGCCCCAGCTACAGTTCGTCATGGTAGGGGTTATATAAGTCGCCCCATTCATTCAGCTCTTCCAACAGCCAGCGGTATTCCAACTCCTCTTATACCTTAAGAGCCTTATTATGCACCTC